ATGTTCCTGCTTTCACCACTTCCCATCGCTGTAGCTGTTAGAGGTACTAAGTGACCCTGGATTTGATAGCAATGGTCTCAGAGTTCCCTGGGGATTTGCATGAGATGCAATGGGGGCAGCATGTCAGGATTCAAACCACCACACCCCCGGCTGGGTACTGCTGCAGCTGTGGTGCTCAGTGGGTTAAGCACACTGCAATATGTGCATTGAGATTAGCATCTGGCAAGCCCCAGGTGGAGATCCCTAGGGCTGGGCTCGCTCAGCGGGAAGGAACATTGGCCTGGAATCCTGAAGAAGGAACTGAAGTTTCCCCAGGCCCCATGGGTTTCAGCCTCCCCCTCCTTCCCCTGCCAGAGAACCATGGTGCCGGACACTCCCCAGTGCGACACGGCCACCCTGGAAACAGCCACAGGCATAAACCACAACTTCCTCTTATCCAGCTCTGGGTCCCCAGTGCCTGGGGTCACCCCAGGCCTTCCGCAAGGGAAGAGGATCCTGGGAGAAAGTAGAGATGCAGAGAGACTGTCTGCAGAGAGATCACCGCGGGGGTAAGAGGCCAGGACTGATGGCAGCCACGTCCCTCGCCCCCTCGGGTCACCTGGGTCACTTGTTTCTTTTCTCTGAAACCCCCTCCAGCTGATTAATATCACCCTGACCCAGAGGGCCCGGCCCCAAGCATCAGATCCCAGGGGCTGGATCCCTGGCCTGGGATGGGAGGCTGTGGGTCTCTAGGAGCCGAGTGCATGGTCCCACGGGGAGAAGGAGAGACAAAGACATGTGGGGAGAGGGGGAAAGTGGGAGTCAAGAGACACCGATGAAGAGAGGGGGATGGAGAAGGGGAGAGGGAGGTGCAAATGGAGAGGGAACCGCAGACACTTAAATCTCCATCTCCCAGTCATCGGAGGCCTGGTTGTCGGGAAGCCCTTAATAATGTCTGCAAATAACAGTTGCATCCCGGCGCCAACGGCGAGAGGAGAGAGGCAGGGCCGCGCCGGTGATCGGAGGCTCGGCTAAGGTCTGTGGGAACCCGGCTCTGCATCGGGGAGGCGCCCCGCCTGCTCTGGAAAACGGAGCAAACCCTGCACAGCGTGTGGGAAGCTGCTGGAGGCTGGGAGCAGCAATTCCCAGGGTGCTTCCCTGCTGAAGGAGCGCTCTGCCTGCCAGGCTCCAGGAGTTAACTCCTCCTAGGAAAGCCTGCAGCCGGGACCGGCTCCCTAGAGCAGGCAATGGGATGGGTGTCAGTCTGCAGAGCTGTCAGTTGCGGAGTATCCTTTGGGCTGACTCTGTGACCTTCGCCCCTGTCCTGGCTGGGTCAGTTTTTGCTAAGTGGATAGCCAGGTGGAGTGGCCACTCCCTGACCTGAGTGGGCGGGGCCTTCAGTTGCTTTCCTGGGCTCCGCCCACTAATCCCAGTCATCCAACAGGCTGGCGTCTTTCCAAGCACTGAATTCTCCCAGGGTGATGTTGCGTGCCAGGGGATGGAGTTCACGTCCTTGTTAGAGCAAACTGGAAAGGGTTTCAAACGCAAGGGAACGCCTCCCGATGGTGTGGTAGCACCTTTGGAAATGAAATGGTCTGTTTCCGCTTCAACCGAGCAGGACCAAGAGGGCACATTTTTGGATTTTCCCACACTTTCCCCCTTTTGACCTCAGGGAAAGGAAAAATTAAAAAAAAACAGGCCCCTCCGCGAGTAGCAAAAACTGGAAAATTTCAAACTGTACCAATGTGTTGCACATCATCCCAAAAGGCAGTTTTCATCTAAAAAAACTTTCGCCTTATCCTGATGATAATGTATGTGCATGTGACGGGCTGTGGGTGAATTTGACCTCCGGTAAGGCCAACTCGATGGGCGGTCGGGAATTTGTGGACCTAATGGTTTTTCATCCCCATCCCCCAGGAATAGCACACTGGTCACGGACGGCTCCAGGCACCAGCGAAGGAAGCAAGTGCTTGGGGCGGCCAATGGGAAGGGGCGGCACGTCCGGGTCTTCGGCGGCAATTCAGCAGCGGGTCCCTCAGTCCCTCTCGGAGCGAAGGACTCGCCACCGAATTGCCACCAAAGAATGAAGCGGCGCGGTACAGCTGCCGCCGATCGTGGCTTTATCTCTTTTTTTTTTTTGCTTTGCCCCTTGGGGCGGCAAAAAAGCTGGAGTCGGCCCTGACACTGGTCATGGCATTCAGGTGGGAAGGGGGTAGGCCCTGAGGTGAGCCCCTTGCTCCCAAACTATTTGGGCTGTGAATCTCTCCCTTTTGGAACTGGTCCTCTTTGTATAAATAATGACATAGTCACTGGGGCAGAGAGAAACTGTGTCCATAGCCCAGTGGTTAGGGCAGGAACCCAGTGGGAGTCCCAGGTTCAAGTCCCTGCCCTGAACCTGGCTATTCTGGGATGGGTCTCGCTCTCCTGCCCAGATCTAGTTATTACATGACAACCATAGTGCAAGCCCTGACAGCATGTCATGACCACAACATGCAGAGGCCATGCACTGAGTGAAGCTCCATTGATTTTACTTGAGTTAATCCTAATTTGCAATTTAAGTTAAAGGAAAATCAGGCCCATGCTAAACAAGACTCAAGGACCCAGGAGAAGAGTTCAAGCCAGGGACAGTGTGACGGCCAAAGAGAAGGGAGGGCTGGCAGCAGGCGAGCCAGAGGGCTCATGATGGACGAAGTCAGGAGCCTGTGGCAGGCAGGAGCGGGCAGCCAAGGGTGCTCGGTGGATGAGGACCAGGGACTATTCAACAGCTGGGTGATAGAAGGTGCGAGAGGCATCCGGAGCAGGACGGGAGGCACAGTGACGGCCTTACAGGCCCACTCATTGTCTGTTACCTTGTCAGCAAGAACGTCTTCTCAGCGGCTGGGTGCGCGGAAGACAGATACGCGCTCGCTCTGCTCAACCTAGCACTGTGAAAATAGTGTGGCTGCAGCCGTCTGGGCAGTGGTGTGGGCTAGCCACCCCGGTACAAACCGCGTGACCGTGTGGGTACGGACTTAGAGAACTAGCCCATGCCAGCATTGCAATGCTGCTAGCATGGCTCTGTCTCCCTGTGCCGGAAAGCACGCTCCCAACTGTTGTTAGACATACCCTGTGTCCCACCACCATAAAACACAATATGGCCACATTCAGAACCAGACCAGCAATGACTTCAGCAGCAAAGGGGCACGCACAGACCATAGGGATGAGAGGCAGTGTGGGCTAATGCATAGGGACTTAGGGCATCAGATTTGTTCCAGTCTGTGCCACTGATTTAGGGCAAATCTCCATCTCTCTGTGCTGGCATTTCCCCTCCATCCAGTTTAGACTGGAAGCTCTTCCGGGCAAGGGCTGTCTTCCAGTCTGTGTGAACACAGCACATAGAGGGGCTAACCCGGTTGAAGCCTCTGTGTCCTACTACAACAAGGTCAGGCGTACATGGCATTAGGTAGTCTATGGGTCTGTGTGCAGGACCAGGGGCTGATATTGTACATGGGCCAGGTGGCGCCTTGGAGCGGATTATTTTTTGTTTATTTTTTATTTTTTCCATGCGATTCCATAAATAACTTTATCTTGGCCTTCCAAAAAAACATTTTGTTCTATTCCTCGCCGTGAACATTCTTCTCATCCGGCCCTGCCGCCCGCTTCCCATGTTGGGTTGCAGAGTCGTTTATCCAGCAGCCAAAATGTGTTGGCGGAGCTTTCAATAAATAAACCAGCCCCGGGAAAAAGTTCACGCGCGTGGTGCTCGGGGGGAAGGCTTGGGGTTTATAGCCCATCATGGACCTGGAGCCTCCGAATCATTTACAGTGGGAACTCAGGAGCATTTCTAGACTGTATGTAGCTGGATTAGTAACAGAGTCGGTCCACTAGAGATGTAGTTTGAGTTAATTTGACTTCTACCTTTATTTAAAAAAAGAACCCAAGGTTGCTGTTTGACACCCCTGTCCCTTGGCTGATTTCAATGGAGGCGCTTTAGATTTGCAGGTGTGTTAGGGGCACAGGGGAGAGTTTGGGGTCACCCTTAGGAGCGCAGGAAAATGGGGCCCTCAGAGGAGACCCCCCGCAAGAGATATCCAAGCCCAGCTCTGGCGAAGAGGTTCGCTTGGCCTCCTGCTCCAGTCCTGCGGCCCCAAGGGTAGGGTTTGCTGGAGAGTTGTTTCCTTCCCAGCTCCAGCTGCCAGAGCAGAGAGAATGAGTCATCAGCTTTGCCCGGCGGCTCCAGAACGCACTGCTCGGGCCCTGGTGATTAGCCCTGGATCTCCCTGGTGCCAGCACAGACCACATGACCACAGAGCCCCTCTCCCATCTGGGATCTAGCCAGCCCCTCTCTTGCCAAGCCTGGGGAAAGCGTGTGAACTCCCCAGCGCTGGCAAGCGTGGTGGGGAGCTAGAACCCCCGCTAGTACCTTGTGTAGCCCTATCACCGAGCCCCCTATTGATCGCCCTAGATGGCACTGCTGCAAAGGGCAGAGTCCTGGCAGCCCATGAAGCCCCTGCCATGTCCCTCAAGCTGACCTAGGCTTGAATGCCCCAGCTGAGAGGGTGAAGTCAATAGCAAAACAGGGTCAGGATTTCACCCCCTTAATTGCACATTCTTAAAGGGCTTAAAAAACCATGTCTGGTTTTGAGGAGCAGCCTGGAACTGTGCCCAGGGTTGGCAGCCAGGACTCCTGGGTTCTGTTCTAAAATATCTGCTCTCGTTCAATCACAAGTCATGTGGCATGATACAGGCACCCCTGGGCGAGAGCCTCTGGCCTGGGTTATGCGGGAGAGCAGAGTGGCTGATCATAATCGTCCCTTCTCCTGGCCTTAACATCTATGAATCTATCCCCAGCTCTGCCACTGACTCACTGGGTGACCATGGGCAAGTCATACGGTCTCTTTGTGCCTCAGTTTTCCCAGCTGCAGAATGGGGCTCCTGATACCTAATTACGCCCCATGCCCCGTCTCGAGGTTATTGCTACACAGTCAATAGCTGGAGAGTGCTAAGCGTTATTATGGCCCTCAGACAGTACACACACTCGCTTATTACAAAATATCTTTTATTGTTAAAATATCTCAAGACTTTTCATCAACATCATTCCACACACACTACAGCGGGGAAAAACACAACTCCTGCCATTCACGGGGATATGGTTACGGGGCACAGAGACTCACAGCAGCTCCAAAGAGAGCCCACGCCCATCATAACCCACCCCATGTTGCAATGCCACATGCAGCCAGAGGCAAAACACAGGCAGCCCAAGTGGCATGCGTCATCCCACCGCCCCTGCAGGTGACAGGTTCGGAGACAGCAAACCTCCTCCTCACTTCCACTGGATGTTATAGGTTCTCCTCCACTCTCTTCCGTGTACAGGGTCAGGGGCAAAAATCCACCCCCGCTATTTTTCATCTCTCCACAGACTGCTTGGAAAGCGGGGGGAACGCTGCATTTCAATGTGGAGTCCATACGTGGTAACAAGATACTTTAAAATCAGCACTGGCTAATTGTAATTTCAATAACCAATTGGAGCCAGAATGGTCCACACTGAAAGAGCACAGGACTGGCAGTCAGGATGCCTGGGTTCTTTTCCCACTAGTCAGGCCACTGGACTGGGAGTCAGGACGCCTGGGTTCTTTTCTCATCTCTGACACCCACTTGATGTCTGAACCATAGGCAAGTTACTTCCTCCCCTGAGAATCAGTTTTGCCCCCTGTAAAATGAGGCTCACTCAGGCTTGTAAAGTGCTTAGAGTTCTACGGATTTAAAAAGCTCCGTGCAAGTGTCAACTCTTACTGGTTCTGGATCCCACTTTTGCAGAGTTCCAGGCAGCTGACTCTGTACCCAGAGTTTGTATGGGTGACAGAGAGACCCGGGAAAGGAGATCCCATCCCTGCTGTGAGGGGGTGGTATGATCTTATTAAACACGGGTCTAAGGGGGAAATGACACAAAGCTCCCACAATGGCCAAGGAGTGAGAACCAGAAAGATGTCTCCTGCTCATAGCTCCCATTCTGATGTGCAAAATTAGGCTGTTGTGTCATTTTTAAAAGAATGATTCAGGCTTAGAAACAACGTATCAAAGCTACTAACACATCCTTGATTAACCACCTTCTCTTTCCCACTTGCATTCATACCATAGATGCTTTGATTGAATACTTTTGTTCCTTGCAAACAGATACTATTTGCTTTGGAGAGCTCAGTATGCGTTTGGGGGAGGGGGGGAAGAGACAAACATCAGAGAGACAAACTGCTGAAGGAGCTACAGATCCTAGAGGTAATGACAGAAGCTATCAAGCAAATTAGAGTCCTAGAAGACTCGGCATCCTGGAGAATGGGGCCAGATTCTGTCTGTTTCCAGGATCTGTGAGCGACTTTGACCGCATGCTTTGTTCTGAATTCCGTAGAAAGGTGACGGACTGGGGTAGATACAGGGAAGGGGGGTGTACGTTGTACGGGCTGAGCAAAAAGAAAGGAGGAAAAAAGAAAGAATTCTTCTTTTCATAAAAAAAAAGGAACCAAGGAAGGAAAATCCTCACGCCCAAACTCTCCTCTCGGTCCCAAGTGCGTCAATCCTATAAAAACCCTTGTGTCCATACCAGCTTGTCCCTCCCCAAGTTCCCCCCCTTGCTAGCAGCTCCACTAGTGGGAGCCCTGGCGTAGACACTGCACCTGCCACCACTGGCCTTTTAACCCCATGCTCACAGGAGGTCATGCTGACATGGTGTTAAAAGCACAGGCTGTCACGGGAGCCTTGTCCGCACTAGGGCCCCCACACTGGGAACTGTCACCCAGAAATCCTATGGCATGGGTTCTCAATCTGGGGTTGACAACCACCCCACCATCCCCATGCTGCTAAATGGGAGAGACATGTCTGAGCTAGATCCCAGCTCCATTGGAGAAGGGTTCCATGGGGGTCCCAGTATGAAGGACTCGGTGAACCCTGGCCCTGTGATTTAGCGAGAATTACCCCCAGTGAAGCCGAGAGCAGAATCTGGCCCACACAGACTGAAACCTTTACTGCATTAAACCTCCATAATCACATGAGCTCTGTACATGTTTGTGACCCACCCCACAGCTGGCATAAAAGGGCACAATGCAGCTGTGACCAGCATCAAATTTGGCCCTTGCCTTCCTAAGCAGAGAGAAAGTGTGGCCCGGGGCAGATTTCTTTCTGAGTCTCACCACACCAACCTCCAATGGGAGACAGAAAGAAGGAAGAGAGACTGGCAGGAGACTCTCTTGTAGTTACCTGGAAGGCAGGTCACACATACTCTCCTCTGCAGAGTTGGTGGGAAGAGAGTTTTTCTCATCCCACCCATATGAATGGCATGCACATTAAAGGCTCCCCAGCTTGGTAGAAAATACATTGGCAAACGGGCCGGGGTTTTAACTCGTTTGCAGGAAATATAAAAAGGCTGATCCAAAACAGTCTTTAAAACAGTCTTTTGTATCCACTGCCCATCCCCACTCTTTGCAAACACAAAAGCTGATGAATAAATAGACGTGTTTTAAATAGTGTCGGTGGAATGTTGCCACTATTCCCCCCCCACCCTCACCCCCACACCTCAACCTACAGTCTCCCACCTCCCCTCTGCTCTCTCACCAGGCAGTCTGAGTCCCCTGCCTGCAGAGGATCTTGCGGAAGGCCTTGCGGAAGTCCTGGTTGAAGATGGTGTAGATCACAGGGTTCAAGGAGCTGTTGCAGTAGCCAATCCAGAAGAAGAACTGGAACACGCTGTTGGGGACCTTGCAGAGTTCTGGGCAAATGGCCCCCAGGCTATAGAGAAAGAAGAAAGGGAACCAGCAAAGGACAAAGACCCCGATTACCACAGCTAGGACAAAGGTGAACCTCTTCTCCCGGTTGAGGTGGGTCTTCCTCTTCCAAGGGTTGGCACTCAGGGTCTTCACCCTCCTCACCAGCAGCACCTCCCCCTTGGCAGTGGCCAGGGTCTCCATGCCCTTGACAGAGCTCTGGGGGTGCCCGTTGCGCTGCTTGAGGCTGCAGTGCGGGGAGCGCTCCAGCGGACTGGAGCCAGAAGACTCTTTCTTCTCTGATTGGGGCTGGCAAGGGTTAGTGGCAGATGGCGGCAGCTGCTGCTGCTCCTCCTCCAGGCTCAGGAGAGACGTCCTGTGGGCAGGGAGCGTAGGGGTCGCCGGCTGGTCACTATCCTCATTGGGCACCTGATGCCCATTGGGTTCCCTTTCACTCAGCTGCTGGGGAGAGGTCTCAGAGGTCGGGCCAGTGATTTTCTTAGATGTCCCCTTCTTCTCAGCCTTGGACTTCTTGCCCCTGGAGCCTTGCCGGGTCCGGTGCTTCGCTATAAAGTAAATCCGCAGGTAGACCAGGATCATGATGATGCAGGGGGCAAAGAAGGAGCCGATGCTGGAGGAGAGGATGTACCACGCCTCCTCGTTGAGTTTGCACTGCGGCCTGCCATCCTGGCTGTCCTTCTTGTTCCCCTTGTAGATGAGGGGGGGCAGGGAAATGAAGGCCGCGATCATCCACACGATGAGGATGATGCCCTTGATCCTCTTGGGGGTCCTCTTGGAGTTGTACTCGATGGCCTGGCTGACGGACCAGTACCGGTCCAGGCTGATGGCGCAGAGATGCACGATGGAGGAGGTGCAGAAGAGAACGTCCAAGGCCAGGTAGATCTCGCACCAGGTCTTCCGGAAGTGCCAGTAGCCCATCAGCTCATTGGCGAGGGAAAAGGGGATGATGAGGGTGGCCACCAGGATGTCGGCCGCTGCCAGGGACACCAGGAAAAGGTTCTGGGGGGCCTTGAGGGACCGGCTGGTGAGCACGGCGATGATCACCAGCACGTTGCCGAAGATGGTAAAGAGGATGAGGAAGGTGATGATGGCAGCGATGGCCGCGGTGGCTTGGACCGAGTAGCCCTCAGGGCTGTCCATGGCTTGGGGCCCCCAAATGAGTCTGCGGGGGGGGGGGGCTTCTAAAGAGCAAATCCGAGAGGGGTGGGGAGCGCCCCGCTCGCCCCGCGCTCCGGGCTCGGTTGCAGCCTCGGCTCCCCGCGCTCAGAAGCCCCCATCGGGGCCGGGGCGCATCAGCGCGGGAGCCCCCAGGCTGCGCGCTCCCTCGCCGGCTGCGCTCCCTGGCGCGCAAGAAGTTTGCCCAAGTCTCGCCCGCCGGCCCCTGCGCCTGCCCGGGCTGCGGGACGAGTCGGGAGCCGCCTCCGCCGCTTTTGAAGGCAGCCGCGGCAGGGGCTGTGTGGTCGTTCCCCCATCCCCGGCGTGTGATGTCAGGCAGCTCCGCGCCATCCCCTTGGCAGGCACCGGCAGCGGGGCGAGGAGGGAGGAGACAAGGGCTGGGGCGGGGAGAAGGCGGGGGGAGGAGGGAAGCAGCCGCCGCTTTGCAGAGCAGCCAGAGCCACCTACCTCGCTGCAAGTCGGTGCCCTGGGGGCTCGGCCTCCCCCAGCCCCCTGGCTGCTCCACAAGGGGCTCCGGGGGGGGGGGATCCTCCCGTTTCCACGCATGGCCCGGCACAAGTCCCCCTTTAGCCCCCACTAGGGCTCAGGCTCAGAGACCCGGGGGTCGGGGCAGGGGAAAAGGGGCCCTGCTGCAAAGTTTGAGGACAACCCGGCCAAGCGTTTTTGAGCCATATGAGTGGTAAAGCCACCACCCTGGGTGGACCCCCAGGGACTTTCCTCTGCCTCAGCTTCCCCTGGAAACTCACTGGCCTTGGAAAGGAAGGTGCCAACCAGGCTGGCAGGATAGTAAAGGCTACAAGGAAGCGAAGCGGTAGTAGCCATGTGCACTGTGGCCATAGCTCGGTCATGGGAGGCCTGGGTCTGTTCCCAGCCCTGCCCTGTGAGCTGGGACAAGGCACCGGCTCTGTTTCCCATGCCCCGCCCTTGTCTATTTAGTGTGAGCATCTCTCTCGCTGTGTCTGTGCAGCGCCTGGCACAATGCGGCTCTGACCACATCCAAGCCCTACAGGCGCTCCTGGGAGACAAACCCTAGAACTGATCAGCCCTGCTGGAACCAATCCAGTTTCCACCCATTTCAGTGGACGGCAAGGTCCCAATCCTGCACGTGCTGATGGGAGATGTTTGCCACTGAGCTCAGTGGGACCAGGACTGGGCACTATGCAGAGTGTGCATGATCCAGTTCTGATGGCTGGCTGCACTTTCGAAAGAACAGAGCCGTCACTGGGTCTTCCTTTACCTCCAGAGGAAGAGTCCGGTGTTTTAAAGGACCCTGGTACCAGTGCTGGCTTTGGAGATGGTGGCTGTTTTACTGTGGGGTCAGCATGTCCCTCCTTGCAAACACGGACTGTTACCCGGCTGATTCAACCCCCCCTGCCCTTGTAGCTCAAGAACAAAAAGACCAAACTCTTGCTGCTTTCACATTTAAAATCAAGGGCCAGAGTCTTCGAGGCCCCTGCTCCACTGAGTGGCATGAGAAAACAGAAAGCAGCTGCAGCTCCTCAGCTGTGGTTTCCCTCCCAAGCTGGCGAAGAGCCAACAGAGCCCGTTGTTGGACGGGGAGCTCCCCCATCCCCAGGCAGCCCCTAGCATAGGGACCCATGAGGGGCACGCTGCGCTCTAGCGATCTCTAGCAGCTCTTTGGTTACCCTAAACGATGTCAGTGCCAGGACTGGGTTAGAACCAGCTCTGCTTTGCCTGCACTTGGCAGCTGCCCCCAGACCCCAGCCCCAGTTCTCACGGTGAATGGAAATATTTTCCCGATGCCGTGACTGAATTAAGTACTTTTTGAGAGTAAACATCTTTACGACGGCCCCTTCTCAAAACGCTAGCCAAGCATCCCGTATTTCCTGCGGCCCCTCCCTTTGCCAATGAAATCACATTACCCCACCCCTTCGGAAGCCCCCCTCCTGTCACTTTTTGACATTGGCACCCGCAAGAGGCATCGCTTAAGGGCAGGAATAGGACAGTGTTACAGAAACTGCCTTGATCGGAGAGCCAGACATGATTCTCTCTCCGTGATGCTGATGGAGAGTGAGAGCCCAGTGGCACGGATTATTTCAAACCCCAGGATCTGGCAAAATGTCCCCTCCCACTCCTATCTAACACCCTCCCCTCCCATATCCTAGTATCCAAGCACCTCCAAATTAGCGAGTAAATGTCTTTATCCTCACACATCCCTGTGCTCTGATCCCCATTGTACAGACAGGGAACTGAGACCCAGAGTGGCTAAGGGACATGCCCAGGGATGCTTGCAGCAGAGCTGAGAATTGAATGCAGGCCTCCCAGGATACAGTCTGGTGCCTTAAGCCCGGACCATTCATCCTCTCCTGTGAGATGAACTGTTTTAAGGGCATCTTCACTTGTGCACAATGGGCCAGCTCCTTCGCTGGTGTACATGGGGGTCACTCCAGTGAAGTACTCAGCACGTAGGTAATTCACCACTTGAGCAATTTACCCAGGGTGATTCTCCATCACTGGCAGCATTTCAGTCAAGATGGGGTGTTTTTCTCAAAGATCCGCTCTAGTGCAAACAGGAATTAATTCAGGGAAGTCTCCTGGCCTCTGCTATGCAGGAGGTCAGACTAGATCAGAGGTTCCCAAAGTGGGCGATACCGCCCCCTGGGGGGCGCTGGAACGATCCAGGGGGGCAGTAGTAGCCTCGGGTGCAATTGGGGGGCGTTGAATAAAAATAAGGGGGCGGTGGAAGCATAAAGAAAGAATATAAGAAAATTTTGAAAAACCGTTCGTACATGTTTCATCTGTTGTGTAACACAGAGTTAAAGTTGTAGTGATTACTTTATTTTCCAAATAAATTCACAAATTATAACCGATCAGGTGTCAAGTCTGCCAACAGCTCTTAACAAGCAAGTGTTGGCAGGCAAGCGTGTCGCACATTGTCGGGAAGTCCAGCATGCATCGGCAGGAATATGTGCGTGTAATGACTTGTTTACAATACGATACTATAAATAGGCGACATGTATGAAATCTAATTTAGATTGTTTCTTAATTGTGTAAAAAGCAGTTAACAATAGTGCAATAAGTATTTAAAATTTTTTATTCATATTCAATACCTTCGATCTTTACGGATTACGGATCACATACAAAGCAAATTGTATTATTGTTGTTTCAATAAAACAGCAATTTACACGTGAGTATTTTTAGACTTTTTCTT